TAATAATAATGTGTGTGTGTGTGTGTGTGTGTGTGTGTGTGTGTGTGTGTGTGTGTGTGTGTGTATATAAACAAAGGCCAAGCGTTTCTTGAATTTATTTAATAAATTCGAAAAATTAAAAAAGATTAATAGGCGCTGAAAATCCTGCCTCAATGTAATGCCGGAATTATTTTCTACTGAATATACCGGTTTATGTACACTTTTTTGTTTATATATATATTTGAGGCAACGCTTATAGAATGTACCCAACAAATGTCGATATGTAAATTATATCTGTTATCGCGTGGCAGTTAGCTACGTAATTTATTAACGCAAACAACGCTTTAAATTATACAAAAAGGGTAATTATACAAATTATACAAATTAATTATAAAGGTAATTATACAAATTATTATTCTACAATCAAATTTAAATAATTAAAATGTTTTTTTTTATGTGTACAAAATGCAGGGGCAATTTTTTTCTTTATAATCACAACATATTTTCAGAAATTGCAACGTCAGCTTATTCCAATAAACAGAAATATCTCTAGCAAATTAGAGATAATTGATTGAGTATAGCTTGAATTATCAAAAGAAATGAAAGACGATGATGACTGCTGTAGATAATGTCGCGGACGATTGCTGGTTTATTACAAGAACATTAGAAGAAGAATATCTCGACTATTACATACAGATCATTATCTGTAATCTGATTTCAAAATCAATTTAGCTAAGTAATTGTGATAACTAGCATTGCTTGGTATTATTCTTCTGTCATAAATTACAAACTTTTACAAGGAAAAAACAGATAAAAATTTTGCACTATTTCCCTTTATTATTTTAATTTTTCCCTTTATTGATTTTATTGTGATATGTTAAACGATATGATTATAAAATATAGGTGGAGATAAAGATGTTGAATCTTGTAAATGAAATTAAAATTGTTTCATCCTTAGATTACTAGTGTTTTGTAAATGTTTTATGATTTAAAATAAAATAAAAATGTTGTAATAAATGATAATATTTTGCATTGTAAATATCTATTGGATGAGATTATCATTTTTTTATTATTAGAGTTAAAATTAGAATTAGAAATAGACTTTATATTAGTTAAAGCTTCTAAGTAAAAAGAAAAAAAGTTCAATTAGATCAAATTGTTGTTTTTTTTGACGTCACGATGTCTGAATTGATGAATAAAGAAAAAGCATGCACATTTCCACTGAACAGAATTCAATTTAAAGGACAGAATCGGAGACTAGTAAATTCTCTCTCTCTTTCTCTCTCTCTCTTTCTCATGATGCATGTCATTTTTGTTCTTTCCACATGTGGTTTTGAACTGACAGAATCGTTCCACACCCGTCGCGATCCGACGGATCATTATTTTATATATATTCTGTATTGTCTTTCGAATATATTGTTAGGCTCTTTAATTTCTACTAACGATAAAAAGTAAAATAAAGTATATTTTTTAATTATTGTTCAATTATAAACAGATAGATTTTTTTATATCTAGTAAAAATAATATTGTTATCTGCGTAAATTAATATAATCTGATATAATTTGTGAAATATGATTTTATTCTTCCGTAGGAAAAAAATCTTTACTTATTAATTGCAGAAATGAGAGTTAATTGTCAGTTATTATATATTAAAAAAAAAAAAAAAAAACAAAAGCAAAACTTGCGCGAAAATTCATTTTTATTTTATACGTATATATATATATAAATGCGCGGGCAATATATCTCTGTCATTTCTATACGTCGTAAATCGATATGGCTTGTCGATTTGTGATGCAAATGTGAATTTATATAATACAGGAGAAACAATTTGCTTTCACCGTGCGACGAGTCGCTTTCGTGCCTTCGAAATTTCGCAAAAGCGGATTTCGCGAGCCTGTAATGTGAACACCGATAATTGTAATAAATCGCGCCAACCAATTTACCGTGCTTAGCAGGTACACGACGATACTAAATTGTGCGCGACTGCATGCAACGTGTAATCCAATCCCACCGCGACATCCTGCCTATCTAGATTACCGCGGATTAATAGTCGTTATTTCGCAGTAAGTAGCATAACTGGGAAATGCATGCTGCATAAAACGCGATGTGTACGAGAGAGAGAGAGAGAGAGAGAGACAATTGTCTCGGAAGCCGGAAGCAAACACATTGCGCGAGATTGACGTAACAGTGCTTCTGATATTGACAAATTAATAACAGTAGGAAACTTGAAGAGTACATTCCACCTGTCGTCGAGAGCTCTCTACTGACTGAAAGTGTATGATATATATTATACGACGCGTCACTCAATGAAAAATTCACGATTATTAATCAAATGCGCGAAAATAAAAAGCTCTAAAATAAAAATAAAAATGAAAAAAAATTATTTCTTTCATTCTGCACATATTTTTCTTTCAAATATGTATGTATAATGAATGAAATAAAAATTTTCTCTCACTTTTTTTATTTTTATTTTAGAGCTTTTTATTACACATTTGATTTAAATAAATAATTATAATTTCTTCATTGAATTTCATTTGAGTTTTGTCAAATACATAAATATATAATTCCGTCACTTTGGGATGTTGAAAATAAATACGTGAAGCGAAACAAAATATTCTTTCGCTAATCCGAAGTCATTATTTCCCTATTGAACATTTGATTAGACGTTTCCAGTACCATAACTGCTTAACTTTTGACATTAGGTATATCTTGATTACTAAGCTTCAAAGCTGTAACTCCTCCAAAATATAATTCATTCGGAGATATTATATGAAAAATGAGACTTGACTCTCTTCGGAAACAGGCATAATAATATCGGTTGTCAATCATTCACTCATAACACGGGAAACAATTGGCGTCCCTCTCTCTCTCTCTCTCTCTCTCTCTCTCTCTCTCTCTCTCTCTCTCTCTCTCTCTCTCTCTCTCTCTCTTTCTCGCTACGAAAGATGAACGGATCGGAGAGCAGCCGCTCAGCCAAACTGCCCATTTGTTTCGCGGACACCCTGTATTTAATTCTAATACACGACATCACGCGATATCGCTCCGGCAATTAAAGAATCGTAAAGAGGAACATTTATCGAATCAATCAAACTGAATGTGAAAAACCCGGCGGCGGCGACCGGATCCCCGGCGATTGCGAGAGGAGCGCAATCTCTCATTCACCGAAATCAGTAAAATCTTTTTAAAGTCTTCGTATAAGTTCAATTTAGCGGGCAAGGAATGGTGCCGAGATCGCTCTTCCCGGCCAGTTCGACCAACCGGACGACCGCACGACCGTCCGATCGTCCGTCCGTCCGTCTGTCTGTCTGTCTGTCCGCCCGTCCGTCCGCGGCCCTTTTTCTTCCTCTTCTTCTGCGTCTTCGCTTCTTCTTCTCGGCCTTCCACGTCGGCTTTTCTATCCCGATACAAAGAGGCGCGAGCGAGCCTAATTATTATGATAGCTCGCCACCGGATTCTGTCGGTCCCTTTGATCTGCCGCCGTTTAGCATGATCCCCCGATATTTAGGTAGGCTCCGTTGTCCAGGAAGGCTTTGGAGGGGAGGGGGGCATCCTCCTCGTGCAGTAAAAGAGGAGAGAGAGAGACGTATGCGTCTGTACGCGATACGTGTGTGTGTGTGTGTGTGTGTGTGTGTGTGTGTGTGTGTGTGACCGAGAGAGCCGAGGGGTGGAGAGGAGGGGTGGGGGCGAAAAAGGTAGGATTTAGGGAAGGAATCATTGGTGGAACAGGGACGCGATAAACTATCCATCAATGAGGATTTTTTTCGAAAAATTTACGCCTGCCTCTGT